CTGGCTGGTTAGCAGAAAACAAGGCAAGAAGAGTTCCCAGTCAGGCTCCGGGAACCAAAGTGGAATCGTTCCCGTCGCCACATTTGTGACAGATGTCCGGCGGGAATTTGAACGCGTAACAGTCCTTCAGGTTTTTCGAATTGTTTACAAAATGGAAACATTTTTTGTTCCTTTCGTTACTGTCGTGAATACTATCGTTACTATCGTTACTGTCGGGTCTCAAGCCAGTGATTTATGGCTGAGACCCAGCATTCACGATAGTTTCACGAATTTTCCGTGGACGATTCCTTTAACAAGGTATTACGGTAACTGGCGAAGCGTCATTGAAGTGTCTTTAATGATCTCTAAGTGTGCTTTTTTGCAGTGCAGCGGCCGGTGATTTCGTCGACGACCTGCCACCAGCAGGCAAAGTCGAATTGGTTCACGTGAAGAAGAGGAAATGCGGTTGCTGTACAGTGCAGTAGTCGCACTGCGCAGCCAGTCAGTCCAGTCAGTCAGTCAGCCACAGCCACGAACAACCATGCCGTCCGTCCTTGTCTCTCCGTACATCTCTTTCTTTTCGTCTCTTATTTCTCTTATACTGTGTCTCTGTTTAGCTCTCAGGTGAGAGTATTCCAAAGAGCGCACGCGCTGCGATAGTGTGATAGCCTTGAGAAAGCTGCATATATAGTCATAATCTATCTCTATACTGTTTGGAAGACGTGAAGGTGAGTGAGAGTACCCGTGCCCCCTCGTAGGCGCACAGCCAAGCTCATTTTGTTCGTCCATGCACACACCCACACACACACCGCACATTTGCCTCCCACCGTCACCATCACTACCACCATCCTTCCATCTCCCATACCGTACCCTGTATCCCCACCGTTGTTTTAGAGTATTGTACCCTGTGTGAGGACAGTTGTACATAATTGGTGTGTCGAGCTATCTCCTACCGGTGTCCTTACCTTGTTGTTGCCCTGAATATTCTCTGAGTTGACTTCTTCCGCCGCCAACACTCCGACGGCGACATCGCTCACGCTTCTGTTCTGCCCCGCCGCCACCGCCTCGCCTCCTGTGTGCAGTCCTTTACTGTCTAGATATCGCCCTGCACTACCAACACAAAAATTGAGAATATTGAGCAGGGTGTGACCCACCCCAAAAAACGCGAACTGCAAATCCTGAGACCATTTCTCGCCGCGTTGTGTTCGGAGGAGTCGGAGTCGGACTCATGATCACGATGATAATGGTGATGATGTTATCGTATGAAACACTGTCGGTCCCGATTGATTCGTTTGCGATGTACGCTTCTGTGTAAAATGTTCAACGAACAAAGTAAACATACGTCTCATATTGCCTTTTTTGTCTTCTGTTAATCTTTTGCTGGAAAAATTCCTGCAAAAGTCATGACCATGATGGATTCCTGGCTTTGGAATGCATTCTATGCTCCGGGTTATGTTGAAGAAATAAGCCCTGTTCGTCTCTCACAAGGGAGGTCTTTCAGGACATGGAGCGCTTTTTCGAAATGGTTTTCTGCATGTTGTAGGGCTCATGCGAGGAACACAGAACCATGATCCATTTTTCCTGAACGCCTCCAGGAATGTCAAAACAGTGGTGAAGAAATGGTCCAGAGTTCGATCCCCGGTGATGACTAATTTTTGCAATATAGTTTGGCGCCCCAGATTGCCGCCAAATGGCGCCATCGTCGAGAATAGATGTCATTGTCGTGTTTTGCGGCAATTTGGAGGCGCCAACATAAATTGCAAAAATTTGTCATCACGGAGGATCGAACTTTGGACCATTTCTTCCCCGCTGTTTTGACATTCCTGGGGGCGTTCAGGAAAAATGGAACCATGGTTCTGTGTTCCTTACATTGA